CTGTGAATGCATGAGAGTTATCAGGAATGTAGCCAGTGACTGGCCATGCAGATAAGGAAAATATTCTTTGGTTTCAGCATCATCTTTAACATTCAATATTTTAGGCTCCCTGGAAAGAGACTGCCCCTTGATCCAGGATGCCAGCCAGAGAACTGTTTTCAAGCACTGATGGCCAAAACCTATTTGCTTGTGGGGTAAATGGAGATGATTCAGAAAATTTTGTCTCAACTTTGGACAAAACAATATATCCAATACATCCAATCAAGGAAGAAGTTAAATTTTTGTGGCACAGGTTCTGGTGATTCTCCAAGGCACCACCCCTCCAAATGTTAAAACATAGGTAGGTGTGCAATGCCAAGTTTCAAAGACATTAGTAGTGGAACATTTAAAATACATGCCACAAACACACAGGTAAGTGAAGAAAAGGGGAGGTGGAGGGAAGGTTAGAAGCTAATGGCAAAGAGACAAAATACAAGTCACAGGCTGTTGACAGTATTATAGCATGCCACGATTTCTCCCACAAGTCTCTTTAACAGGTGACCAGGCTGACTTCACCTGACAAACAGCTGGAATGAAGTTTGTAAAAACACTCTGCAATTACTTGACAAAGGTAGAACTATGAGGCCTTCCATATGTACAGGCACATGTAAGTTGTACTCCAAACTTCTCTATTTTAGCTGTCCTATCAATTTTAACACAATTCCCCCACCTCCAAAATATTGAACTGTTTATCATGTGTTCCCATTAAAGTAGAAGTGATGGGATTTTAAAAATCCTCAACACGATTCCATGAAAAACATTTTATATTTGTCTTCTTGTTAACTATCAATGCCCTACTTCAGCTGCAGCATCATCTTTAATAAGCACCCTGGTCAAGTGATTTCACTTCTTTGTGGCTTCCCTCAGTAATTTTTCCACTTTAGCTCATTCTCTGAACTCAAATTCCCCAGTGGTCAGATTGCTACAAATACATCTTTAAAGCTGGCCCTTCGAAAAGAGCTGGAGCCATATGTTGTTCCACCTTCCTTTTTGTGCTCCCTAAGCCCAACGATAGAGAGGCCAGAATATTCTAAAGGCGGTATGAAGTTCTTTTAACATTCTCACAACAAAGTTTAGATTTACCTCTAAACAAATTACATAACAAAACAGTACTTTGGATGCCAAGAGAAATAACAAAAGGGGGTCACAGTAAGTAAACCAGCAAGAGTAGAATACCAGTGGGTTTTAAAATGTTAAAATCCTGCCACCTTTTTCTTCCTTCTTGCGAACAATACTTGGCCTGTACATTTTCTATTTTTGTCTCCTTTAGCCAAATAGGTTATCGTAACCCCTTCTTGTCAGAAGGTTAGGAAGAAAAATTTCTAGAGAAAAATGCAAGAGTCAGTGAAAGGGCTTTTGCTTTCTTTAATAGGATTTTTAGTTCTTTCACTGATTACTATAAGTACTGGGTCACCGACCAAAAAAAAAATCTGTATTTCCTTAGCTATCCATCATGACCATTTATCCCCTTCCTCATGGCACACTCTGACTTGTTCTTAATCAGCACATCTATTATTGTCTTCTCTTACTCAGAATGCCCTACTATTTACTGACTGAATTTCCATATAAGTGATGGCATCACTACTTCTCACTACTTTTCAGGAATAACAAAAATAGCCATTACCTTTCTCTGTTTACTACATTCCTTCAATAATAAATTTTTCTTTTAATTTTTAAAATCTTTAAAGTTTTACTCACCTGGCTTTGCTATTTACATATCATGTGTTCCATACATCATGTGCTTTTAAGGTAAACTGGTACTTGGGTAGTACCATTAACATCAAATTAATCTTGTCTGCCTTTTTGAACATTTATACCACTTTTATCCACTCACCATAACTATGTAGGTTGCAAAAAAAAAAACAACTTTCTTATTCCTATGCTCAATACAACATTATTTGAGTAAATTCTATATTCTGGTACTCAATATTATTATGCCCAACTTTATATTAGAGTTTTGTAATATATAATGTGCCTTATTTCACATAAGATAAAGGCATCTCAATATCAGGTCAGACATCTGGTGGTGTTTCTTAAAAAAAATAAATGACAGATTAGTGATAAGTACTATTTTACTACTTATATTTATATACTATTTATATTTATATATTTATATATATTTATATTTAATACAATTTATATTTTTTCTTCAAGAAATTCTTGTGAACAGCACAACTATAGGGCAGGTGGATGGAAATGGGAGAGGGGACTGGAAAAGAGCTGCTAGACAGGGAATAAATTTGTTATCTTAGTCTCGTTAGTGCTATTCATTAATAAAACCAACTCCTTCTCAACCCCACTTCCTTGCTCTCATGTCCTCTCTACTAGCCAATCTTTCTAAGCAAATGCATTTAAAACAAAAAAGTGCTATCCTCCCTAAGCATTTTCTCATATCCTCTTTGATTCACTCCAATATAGCTACTGTTTCATAAGGTAAAAGAAAACACTCCTGTGGTCAAGAACTCTGACAATGACTTTCTAAACAGGGTGCAATTGCATGAGATTAAAGTTTAGATCATGTTATCAGAACATCTGGGATCTATGCTCAGCTCTGCCAAGTGACTCAGTGCATGACTCAGGCAAGTCACAGCCTTTCTGTGCTTTTGCTTCATCATCTTAAATAAGTAAATGAAACAAAATAAAATAGGGCTGGCACATTCTCTTACATCCATCAGAGTGGAAATTCATAAATATCTTGGGCTTTGTGGTCCTTTTAATGAATGTACCAGACACATACCAGACGACAATATGCTTTATTTTGACAGGGAGATGATGAACAGTTCAAACTCACCTGCTCAAGCCTGCCTTAAGCTACCCAGCAGTCTTCCCAATTGGGCAAAGGGACCCCTTCAGTTAGAAATGCTATGAAGAGAATCCAGGAAGGCTTCACAGCTCTTTTTTCCTTTTATCCAACTGCCTGGCAGCAGACAGAGGAGAAAAGGGAAAAAGGCTGAGCTTTCGTGATTTCTCTCACCTCTCCTGTCCCCACAAAATGACCAACAGCAGGAAATTATAGCCAAAGGAAGCCAAAGTCACATTCCTCTGGCTTCTCTAATAAATGCCTGAGTAAAGGCAGGAAAGCATTAGCGCCAAAGCTTTTTCTCAGGTTATTCTAATTTGTAATTACAAAGGCAGGCTGTGGGAAGGATTTACAATACTACTCCTGTGGATCTGAGGTATCGGGAGTAGGATATGACTTCTGATGGTCTGGAGACTGGGTAGAGATGTACCCCTGTCAGGAACAGACATTTTACACAGGACGTGCAAGTTGCTATTCTAAAACAATACAAAGCAAGTAACTTCTGGAAAAGGGCAATAATGTACATTTCATTCTTCCAGTGATGACACTAATACATAGTGAAGCTCATGCTCTGAGAACAAACACTAACCAAAAAGTTAAAAGAACTCTTGAATATACGTGAAACTTCTGAGAAAGATGAAGACAGGGCTAGAAAATGGAGACATAAATTTTCCATTAATCTCCTGGAATGAATGAGAATCTCTCATATCTCATTTACTGAGATACTACTGCCCAGTGCAAGCTTCCATAATCTAAGTACATATCCAGATAGAGAGAAAACAAAATACACTCATGCATGTGACCAGGAGGGTGTGTGTGCATGCATGCACAACACACACACTCACGCACGCACACACACACACCTCATCCTGGAAGTCAGCACACAAAGGGCACATGTGCTTACAAACATACCCGGGTCAAAGTACAGATTGATGGAAGGCAAGTGACAGAGGCTCCCAACAGGGCAGATAGTTACAATCAAAGCATCAACTCACAGACTCTGAGGAGATTTTCTTCAAAAGCTCAGCCCCTGGGGTTCCAACGAGTCTTAAAATGAGCTTCAACTGATCAATATCTAATGGTGGACTATAAAGGAAAATGTTGGGACAAAATAAAAATGAAAAACAAACAACAAATAAAACAAAATAAAAACAAACAAATAAAGTACCCCAATAACAAAAATTAAAAACCCCAAACCAAGCCAAAATGGTGAATTCATCTAGGCAAGGATTCTGCAGGATGGTCACTTCAAGTAGAACATGCTCCTCCTGTACAGATTCAAAATGATACTACACACATATCCAATTTATATTCATCGTTGTGCATCTGTCAACATTCCCTATTAGCATAGTGAAGCAACTTTAGCTGCCAAAGACAGCAGAGGGAAACAAAAGAGCTTCACTCAGTCCATACCTACCTCACCCTCCACCAAAGCATCAGGAGCCAGTTAAGCAAACAGCGGTGGTAAGCAGAGTGCTACAGATAAGAAAAAGCAGCAGAGCATAGGAGCTAGGAATGTACAAGCCTACCTCTAAATTATTATCCTGAAGCTTAACCGAAGGAGCCTGTAATATGATAGGGGCCTGTGAAGATCTCATAGCCTAACCACTTGAGCATGTCCCCTAGAAAACCTCTCCCTCTATAGGCAGAGAAGAACTGAGTGATAGCCAGCAGAGGGCCCTACTCCTCCATGGCTTATGTATGATCTTTGGGAATGCCATCATAAAGCAGGACATATGAGGTTTCAACCTTATAAATACATTAACAAACCTCGTATATCCCAAAGACTCTAAATAATAGGCCACAATGCCCAAATCTTTATTCTAGTAGCCAATTCTTCCATGTATACTCAGAATGTATGTGCGTATATTAACAAGAAGACAAAAACTTCCATTTGTTCTTGTTGCTTTTAGCTTTGCCTAAGAAGGAAGTTAAAGAGAGGAAAAAATCTTACAAAATAGCTTTTAATAATCTGTGAAAATTCAAATAGTTAATCCA